GGGGCTCTCTGGGGTGCCATGGCCCTTAATGGATTCCAGCTGCCCTTGCTGGCCTGCCTCCACCAGGAAGTCCTCCTGGGTCAGGGAAGCTATGCGGGCTGGCTCGCCCAGTCTGAGCCGGGGCCCTCACAGCGCTGTCCCCTCCCCAGCCTGATAGCTGAGCTTCCTGCCACCCCCAGCCAGGCGGCCCCAAGGGATGAGCCTTGGCCTCACCCCTCCACCTCCTCTAACGTCACTCACACAGCCAAGACTTAATCCAGCCATCAGGCTCCTCCAGACAGCTGAGGCTCCCTCTTCCCGCGCCCCTGGCCTCCTGCCCCCACCTCAAGCCTCGGGAATTCCCGAAGTGCAGTCTACGGCATCCATGCGCTCCTTGACCCCCACAGCTCACCCCCGCTCCCGGCAACGTCACTGCTCCAGTCACAGCCTCTCTGGGTCGGCCCCGCAGCCCTGCCCTCCCTGCAGCTGCCGCCCACTCTGTCCAGCACCCCTCCTGCATGCTGACTCCTGCAGAGGCCACTGGGGCCAGGGCATCCTCCGGCCTCCACCAGCAGGGGGCGCCCCCGCGCCCCGCCCACCCCGTCTGAGCCGGCCACCTCCTGCCTGCCGGTCCTTGATCTTCTCCTCATTTGCGCCTTCCAAGCAAACGTGTCCCATCACCCCAGCACAGCTATGGGGCCCTCCTCTCGCAGCCCAGTCTCCCCGTTTCTCTCACAGCCCTCAGCCCCCGGGGTTTTCGCTTCCCGCTGCACCTGCCTGCCATAGACAGTGGGGGCCACGCGTGGGGCTCACCACAGGGGCCCAGAGGGCACCAGCTGCTGGGAAAATGGTTAAAACGAATGAGTGAGCAGTGGGGGGCTTGCTTCGCGCCTCTGAGAGCCTCGGGGGACCCGAGTCACCCAGCTGCGACAGTTTGGAGGCCAGCTGATCCCCCTCAGACCCTGGCACCTGGCTTTCCTGGGGAGTCCTGTGTCCATGTGCATTCTGCTGCGGGTGACACGGTGCCCTTGCTCTGAAGAGGGTCCCGTGTGGGAAAGACCGCTCGGGCTCTACCCTTGAGCAAGCGGGGCCCGAGCTCGGCGGCTGTCCGCTCACGCCCACTCCCGGCTGGCGGCCGGCACAGACGCCCCTCCTGCCGGCCGC